TGCGGTACATGGGCCTCTCACTGTTGTGGCCTCTCCCATTGCGGAGCACAGGCTCCGGACACGCAGGCTGAGCGGCCATGGCTCACGGGCCCAGCCGCTCCGCGGCATGTGGGATCTTCCGGGACCAGGGCACGAACCCGTGTCCCCTGCATCGGCAGGCGGACTCTCAACCACTGCGCCACCAGGGAAGCCCTACACAGAGGGAAATTTAAAACTATATTTAATTAACTTTAAAAACATATTCTTATTTATGTCATGATTCTAGGAAGGAACAACGAAAAAAAACCTGATGCAATAAGAAAGGGGCAAAGAAAAAAAGAAACCATATTCTTTTACCCCATACTGAGATGCATGAATGAAGTGCTTTAGCAAAAATCAACACAAGTAAACACTGCCCTGCCTCACCTCCTCGAAGTCATCGCTGACCCACAGTGGGATAGGAGTGCCCCAGTATCTGTTTCTGGAAATTGCCCAGTCACGTGCATCTTTCAGCCAATTTCCAAATCGCTTTTCTCGCACAAACTCTGGGACCCTGCAATAAACAGATCACATAACCAATCACATAAAAACATTAGTAAGTAAATTTGTAAATTAGATCTGCATAAGCCTTTGTGAACCTAACATTCTGGAAATGCTGAGCTCACTCCTACGAGAATGTCTTCCAAATGGACAGCACCAGAAGACCCACAGAGGCTGTTTCTGCTATGAATCCATCCCAGGAAGATGCTCTGTAATATGAAACCCCACAGCACACAAGCTTTTCTGTCCTGCTCTCCAACTGCAGGACTGCCACAATCCTTTAACCAATCACCAGGACGACAGCTAGCCTGACCTTACTTAGATCTAGTCTTCAGGTCATCCATACAATAGCGCTTTTACCGAAACTCATTAGCAAGGGCTCTTAATCACCTACAAAGTAAGAGTCTGAATAGGCGGGGTTATGTGTAGCTGGTGAGAAGCTGCCTCTCCAGGCTCACCTGCAGTCCCGCCACTGCACTTTAGGCTCTAGCAATAAGGCAAGTTCCTTAGAATGCAGCTTCTTACCTCACTGCCTCTGTCCATGCCATCCCTCCACTTCGATAACGTTCACCCCGCCACCCTCCTTCCCTCAGCCACCCCCCTACCCAAGGCTCTTATAGCTTCTGACTGGTAAATGACTCCTTATTCTTTAAGGTTCAGCTTTGTAGGAAACGCTGTCAAGCTCAAGACTGAGTTAGGGCACACCTAGGCTCCAAAACATTTTGTCCTCTCAGGTGCTGCAGTTACCATCCTAGGTCAGTTTATAGGCCTGCACACCTGTCACCACCACCTCCAATGAGGCAGCCACACGAATATTCTATACTCAGTGCTCCACCAGGAAACTAAAGAGCTTCCTAGGTATAAAAATGAAAAAACATTTTGCTCTTGAGAAATTCACTTTGCTAAGAAATATAGAAAGCTATAGTTTTCTTTTACTGCCCTGAGATTCTCCCCATTCTTCCAAAATCAAAATGCACTATTTCTTACTTCCCCAGAGAACACAACTTAAAGTCAAGCTGGATTCTTGGGGAAAATAAGAAATAGTGATTACCCTCAAGACTCTCAGGGAAAAACATTCTTCTGGAATACACAGATTTAGTTTTGTATCATTCTTGCACCTACAGGTTGAAGTACAGTAGTCCCCCCTTATCTGTGGTTTCATATGGTCTCAGTTACCCACAGTCAACCGTGGTCCAAAAATATTAAAAGGAAAATTCCAGGAGTAAAAAGTTCGTAAGTTTTAAACTGCACGCTGTTCTGGGTGGCATGATGAAGTGTTGCGCCCTTGCACTCCATCCTGCCTGGGAAATGAACTATCCCTTTGTCTAGCGTATCCAGGCTGTATATGTTACCCGCCCATTAGTTACTTAGCAGCTATCTTGGCTACCACATCAGTTGTTGATTATCTCAGTGCCTGTGTGGAAATAACCCTTATTTTTACTTAAAAATTGGCTCCAAAGGGCAAAAGCAGTGATGCTGGCAATTTGGATATTCTCTTACCGTGCTTAATTTATAAATTAAACTTCATCATAGGTATGTAGGTATAGGAAAAACACAGTATATACAGTGTAGGGTTTGGTACTATCTACGTTTTCAGGCATCCACTGGGGGTCTTGGAACATACCCGCTATGGAAAAATGGAGGAACTACTGTAACACCTCTCTGCAGTTTAGATATTAGCTGAGGAGAGAAAGGCTTCTGTTCCTGCAGTGTTTATCCATGAGACCAGTGTACACAAGACATTGTCATATTTTAGGAACTCAACAAGTGTCAAAAGTAGTAAGTGTAAATGGCTTTTGTAGGTATATCCAAATAAATGTATATCCTGAAAATGACTATTATTTAAAGCTAATGGACTCTGAGAGTACAGCCAGTTTTCCAAAGTCATTCCATTCTTTAAATCAAATAAATAGCAACTTCTCATTTCCATTGGGTTTAAAAAAGAAAAATGTTCCCCTATATGTCCTGTCATAAGAGGGCTGTTTCTTCTGTTATACAATATTATTTAAATTATTTTGTGTTCCTGAATAAACAGAAAAATAGCTATTATTACAATATACAATAAAAGACGGCTTTTAAAATTACTATAACTTGAGGGAAGTATAAACCAGTACTAACTACATGACAAAGGACATTATGAAGACACACATCTTATTGCTCACCAGTAACATAGGTCATTGTTCCTCAGCAGCTGGTCTACCATATGCTCCACCCGAACGAACCAGCTAGGCACTGCTTTGTAAATGAGGGGAGTGTCTGACCTGTGGAAGCAAAAATGCAGAATGTGGCTGGGCAGACTGAGGTATGCAGGGGCAAAGGGTAAGACTGACCTTTAGTTCCTTACTGATATCACCACCAACTATTAGGCCTTCTACTGATATTTATTTCTATTGCAAATACTAATGTCTATGTCATCTCCCTCCATCTTTCACAAGAAGGTAAAAGCTAATAAGAGAACAAGAAAAAATATAGTTCTGCTGTGTGACAGTTGACTAAGAAATGATGTCAACCTCAGCAAAGAGGAAACACGGGAACAAAACGTGATGCCACTGAACATTCCATTTTCACCCACATCTTTATAGTATGATGTTATATTAAAACTTGCATCACAGGGACTTCCCTGATGGCATAGTGGGTAAGAATCCGCCTGCCAATGCAGGGGACACGGGTTCGATCCCTGGTCCTGGAAGATCCCACATGCTGCAGAGTAACTAAGACCATGCGCCACAACTATTGAGCCTGTGCTCTAGAACCCATGAGCCACAACTACTGAGCCCACGCACCACAACTACTGAAGCCTGCATGCCTAGAGCCCGTGCTCCGCAACGAGAGAAGCCACCACAATGAGGAGCCCATGCACATCAACAAAGACCCAATGCAGCCAAAAAAAAAAAATTGCACATTATATTTCTCACTAAATTCCATTAGAAAGTTTTAGAGATATATCTCATCCTAGAGAACTGTGATCCCAACACAATACATATTGGCATATGCCTATGTTTCTTACACCTAAGGAACGAAATAACTATATATATGAATTCATAAAATTCTCCTTAAAACAAGGATGAAGTTTTCAAACACTAACTCTAAAGGATACAAATGAGATGGGAACCATGAATTGATGGAATGGGCACACATATCAAATGTATCCACAAAGCTGAAGCTCGAGCTACATTTCATCTCACCTCCAGCAGAAAGGGTAGCTGTGGGTGAAGGTGCTGGCAGCAAGAAGTCGACCTTGTTCCTTTAGGGTCCTGATAATATTTTTGTCAGCATCCTATTTAAAAAAAATTTTAAATCTAGCCATTAAAATATCCTACAATACTTAGTAATACAATATAATTAAGTATATTACTAAACTTTGTTATTTTGATACCTTTACTATGAATAAAAGGCACAAATAACAAATGTACTATACAAATACTTGGTTCACATTTCAGCCACTGTGTAACTTTAAGTACTTTTAAAGTACGTTCCAGACCACTTAAGGCAGTGAAGTTTTCAATCAGCAATGATTACCCCAAGGTCACAAAGCCGTTTCCGGACTCACAAACCAGAGCCCACTTTTTCTGATTCCTACCTTTGAAATTACAGCATGCTTCCTCTGAAGATACTAGACCCTTGGAATGCAGCTGATAATATGTCTGTTTTTTCTGATTTTATGTGCTCAAACAAAACAAAACAAAATCTACTTCCTGGGGAAAACAAAAATCCCACATATGGAAGCTATTTAACAAAAAACTGATTAATGAAAGAAGTACGATGAAACCGACACCTTTCTAAGCCATAGAGATACAGACCTTCACATACTGTCCTGCAAAATCTGGCACTTCCCCTGTGAAACAGCCTGAAGCATCCACAGGACAAACAGGGACAGAGTCTTTCTGAATGATACTGAAATCCATACAGACCCGATAGTCATCCTGGGGAAAAGGAGAAAGGTAGAAGAAGGGAAGAATAAAATAGTTAAGTGTGGGTGTGGCAAGAGAGGAGCATATGAGGCAATAAATTTATAGGAAAATTTTTCAGTATTCTGACATATAAATGTATCCAACTTTCATTATCCTCTCAACTGAAGCTAACTCAAGGATTATTCAGAGAATCCAGAGCCCTATAGCAGGGTTAGGGGATTAGATCAGTCTTCCCAGCCATTACTTCACAAACCCCTAATATAGCTGAGTATCCACTAAGTAAGAAGAAAGATGGCACATATGAATACATTAGAACAAAATCAAATTTGATTTATAACAGCAGCATGTATACACATACATGTATGCACAAAGCAGAAGAACATACACGTATAAGGCATGAACCGTTTAGTACTTCACAATGCTTGATGTGCATATGGATTTGCATCCTGTCAAAGAGTGCCTGAAAGGATGGCAACAGTGATCTAAATCCAAATTACTCATTTTACGGGAATTCCCTGGTGGTCCAGTGGTTAGAACTTGGCGCTTTCACTGCCAGGGCCTGGGATCAATCCCTTGTCGGTGAACTAAGATCCCACAAGCCGCGTGGTGTGGCGTGCATAAATAAATTAATTTAAAAATAATAATAAATAAAACAAACAAACCCCAAACTGTTCACTTTACAAATAAGTAATATGGGCCCCATGCAGGCTGGGTTCACCACAATGCTTCAGGAATACATTTTGAGCAATGTTAACAATACTCAGGGCAAACTGATTATAAAGTGCTATATCAAACAGTGCTCTGAACATCTAACTACATTATATTAGCTCATTTAACCTTTACAACGATCCTGTGAGGAAGGCAGATAGATGTACTAGGTTTTCATCATGTGTTCCCCTCAGACAAACCAGCAAGTATCTCCATTTTATGGATGAAGAAGCTGAGGCACAAAGAAATAACTCAGCTGCAAAGTGGCAATGCTCACATTCAGAACCAAACAGCCTGGCTCCAGAGTCCAAGGTCTTTACCTCTTTGCTATGCTGTTTGAATATAAAATTAAAGGGACTGTCTTGGACTAAACAGTGAAACCAAACCCTGGTTTGACTCCAAGATAAACTGGAAAGCCAGTATGGTTCCACCTGGGCCTATGTTCAACTCTCACTATGCTGAGAGGCTGCCTAGCGTGATGCGACATGTGCGTGTGGCACATGACAGCCAAGGGCAATGACAGCCTGGCCATGAAGGAAGACCCTGAAAAAAAAAACAGTAAGCAACACAGACAGGACAAGCCCCAAAGTCCAGCAATTTGAACCATTTAGTATAGAGCAAACAGCCCTACTCGATTCGACTAGCTAAGAGCAGCATTCCTGAATGGAGCCAGAGTAACAGGTGATGTTCAACACGGTCATGTAGAAGTGCATAGACTCTGTGGAGAGATCACATAGCACATTGTCTGGCAAAGCCGCAACATGGAAGGTCTCTTGGAAAACGTCTACCAAGTGGGGTTAAAGGCTGAAATTTAAAGATCTGATCTTCTATAACATTAACCTGCCTGGCATTCAGGACAGATACACACCAAGAAGTTACCTTTTCATTATTTATTAACAGTGGAACAATGACACCAGTTGACCCTAAAATTATAATGAATAGCTGAAATTTGACTAATTCCTAAAACTCAATAAATAGTATTATCAAGAATGCTTACTTTCCATCTAATTTGAATACTGACCAGGTATTAGGTGATATTAAGCAATTGTTAATTTTATTGGGTATAATGGCATGGTGGCTATGTTAAAAATAAAAGTCCTTATCAGTCAGAGATGCATACAGAAGTATTTGCAGATGAAAGATATGATGTTGAGAATTTGCTACAAAACCCTCCAGCCAAAATAAAAAAGGTGTTGGGGAAGGGGACAGGGAACGAGACAGATATAACAGAAATTCCAAATTAATAATTAAAGCAGCTGGATAATGTGAACATAAGGAATATTATATTTTCTTTACTTCTGTGTATGTTTGAAGACTTCCATAATAAAAATCCCTGCAGAGATTAAGTATGAAAAGAAAAAAGACCAACGGAGACCGACTAGCTTCACTGCCTCTCTCACTGACAAAATGATCAAGCCAAGAGGAATTGGTAGGTCCCCAGTGGGTGCTACACCCCCAGCAGTACACACTCTTACAGTGTCAGGCACTGTGCTAAACGCTCTATATGGATGATTCCACTTAATCCCTGTAGTTTCCCAGACGGGCAGGTACTATCATTCCATGTCACAGAGGAGGAAAAGGAAGTCCAGACAGGCTAAGTAATTTACCCAGAGATGGCCTGTTAGTGGCAGAGCTGTGACCTAAGGTGAGGTCTGGTTCTAAATGTGTGCACTTAATCCCTATGCTCTTGTTTTATTCATATACAAATTACATTAAAAGGATTACATTTTTGGAAAAATTACTCTGAGAAGAACTTAAAATTAACCACACTGCATAGCTTTGAGGAAAGAGGTCAAATTCTCCCTTCTGATCATATAGTATTTATTTAGTCAAGAACACAGCAAAGGTGATGGAACCTTTCAGCGTTTTGATGGTTGTGGTGACTGTATGACTCTATGCCCTTGTCAAAACTCCCAGAACTGCATATCATAAATGGCAAAGTGTACAGCAAGTAAATAGTGAATGAATGAAAACACAGCATGCCTTTTAGAAAGACTAAATGCCCAGCAACACTCAGGATTTAGCACACCATTTTCAAAAATCAGCTCAGGGTGAAAAGGAATTACAGATGCAAGTTTTATAAAGTTATCTCTGGGGGCAGTGAGCCTGAAAAGAGGTTAACTCCATAGTGTGAAAAACAGTGAGAAACATCTCTCTTCTCTCTCCCTGTCACACACACACACGACTCAGTGGCCACTGACGTTTATTTCTCATAAATGCATTTGCAAGATATATACTACTCACAGCACCAAAGTAAGGAGCTTGGTGTACAACCCCAGTGCCTTCTTCCTCCTTCACATAGTTGTCAACAAGCACAGTAAAAGCACCATTCTCTTTACACTGGAAAAGAAAGGTTATCAGGCTTAAAGAATAAAACAATACCATACCATAATATTAATTTAATAATAGTTTTTGGTAAGAGCCTGAAAAATCTTTTAACATGAAAAATTATATTTTCATAAATAGAAAAGACAGAATAATTCAGATTGGGAAGAAACATGCTAATTCAATACATCGTTTCCATGAATAACAGGTCATCACTTATAAATGAAATAATTATTTGAAGACTTGCAGAGAAAAATTTCTAACTTCCTTCGCCACAAAACTGTGCTTTTTCATCAGTTCTTCCAACTTCACCCCTGCCCTAGAATGCAGTTTTTCGTGAAAATGTCTCAGACGATGTGCTTCCTTAACCATTCACTTTCTGGTATATTTTCAATCACTGCATATGCTTTGCTGCTCCTTTTCCTTTCAGTCCAGCTCAGGTTATTCAGTAATAAAAGGCAAACCTTGGAAGAATCGGTATGGGAGCTGAGTTACAAGTTCTAGTTACAGGTACTCCACCTACTGTAACACTGAAGGGAAATGTTCTCAGTTTGATTTTCTTTATAACAACAATAAAGTCAGGTTCATACACATAACACTACAGACCTACTTCTTCTACCTTTATCTCTTAATATTTCTTTTCACATACCCTTTGTTTCAGCCAAACTGACCCTTTGCTTTCTTACCTCTCTGCCTTTGCAAAAAGTACTTTCAGAAATTATTTTCACATTTAATCCTATAATCCTGTGAAAAAGGCATCAGCAGTCTCATGTTTTAAAAATATTCTGGTTGTATTTGAATTTCACAGATGAACAAACTCTGAACAAAGATGAAATGGTTTGCCCAAATCATACAACTAGTAATGACCTGAAAGAAGGTCTTCTGGTTCCAAACGCAATTTTATTTTCAACTATATCACAACTCTTTAATTCTTTGGCATTCACTTAAAACTAAACTTGAAAAATAACTACGAATTTTTAATTGCTATTACCCAAGTCACCTGGAAATATTTTTGGTGTGGTATGATAGGTGCTAAAAGGTGTGTCTTCAATAGTTTAAGCATGGAGAGATAATATGTGGGTTCTTAGAATCAGATGTAAGAACAGGGAATACAAAGGTATCTTATTGTTTCTAACTGTAGAGGGTTTCTAACAAAGAAACCCTACATTGCATTCCTATGTCTCGAAGTCCAGTTTTAGATCCTTCCCCTGCCAAGGTTGAACTGGGTCAGCATTCACACAGAGAGCTATAGTGCTGTCCTTCAAAGACAGCATCTACTCTCATAGCTCTCACTTAATATTTCAGAACATGTGTATTTTAGGTATACACCAGATGATTTTTGTCTTCAAAGAATTTGCAGCATCTTTCTAAAACTCACCAAACATTCTAGAAATTTCAGGAAGCTAACTGAATGGATAGTAGTTGTTCTTAAATAACTTAGATCAGTATGAACTGAGTGCATATTCCAGACTTCTGATTTAACCTAAAGTTCCTATCTATTGTGCTCATGTGCATTTTCTGAGAGGGATGAACTTTCCTTAGGTTCTCAAAGGGATCTAGTGTAAGAGGTTTTAAGACAAATAAAAACAAATACAAGAAAAAATAAAACATGTTATGATACAGAAGAGAAGAATGCAGGAATGATATTTTTCAGAGGGAGAAACCAAAGAAGCATTTCAAAAATTGCTTTTTTTTCAGATGGCACCTGAGTTTAGCCTTGAAGAGTGTCAAGCTGATATGACGTTAAAGAAAGGTGAGGGTTTTTTAAAAAGAGGAGGAAGACAATAAAAACAAAGGCAGAGAGGGAGGAAAAGAAAGGGCCAGTGTGATGGAAGCAAAGGATATGTTTAAATCAACATTAGGGAATGTGGTTAGGGAGTAGGACTGCCTTGTGTCAACTGGAGAATACCCATTGAGGAATGTGCTGGCAAATGACTACGGGCTCAAGGGAGGGACAAGACCAGGTAAAGTGTTTGGAAATCCATCAGCAGCAACATGGAATGAGGAGGAATGCCATTAGTTAGGAGATAAGAAACATGGGAAAACACTCAGGTGCACAAAAATGTAGAGGCAGATGTGATGTTGTGGACAGAGCCCAAATGGCAGAGATCACCTGCATTAGCCAAACTCTATCCCTACACTGAATCAGAACAGAGGTGAGCAAATATTTTATCATGGGCTATGGTGTAAGGTTTTGCTGGCTAATGCTACGTCCAACTGAATATAATTTCCACATAATGTGTAAAACGGGGTCTGAGAGTGTTGCTCATTATTTCACTCCAAGACCTATAAATAATAACCAACAGGAAATTCCTGCTGACTTTATTCTTTTGTTGTTGGTGGTGGGGTTTACAGCTACAGCTGTGGATTCTGTTGCCAGAAAATGGAAAACCACATAAAATAGCTTTGTGACTCTTATAAGAACTAAGTTACTAAATGTCTGAGCTTAAAGCACCCACCTCATCAATTCCTGGAAATGAACTCTGTTTACTTTTACACACACAGTTTTGTAAAAGCACTATCTTAAGTTTGTAAAAACAAAACTCAAAAAACAAAAAACACCTCAACGACTTGCCTGGGTGATGTGTAGACTATAAACAATACAAATATACACACATTAAATCTTATCAAAGTAACTGATTCCTTATGTAATTTAAGAAAAGTATTTAAAACTTCCTATAGGATTTTAATTATTAAAGCAAGAAGGCAATACAAACAGAATTTAATTTTTGTAATACTAAAACAGATTTTTGGATTTAGGCACACTTGTACAAACAATATAACAATAAGACAATATAAATACCACTCCAGTTATCAAATACTTGGGTTGTGGACAGCTCCTGCGGTAGAAGTCTCTAAGCTCACCTTTATAAAATAGTCAAACAGGGGTCTGTATTTCTTGCCTTTGAGATAGGCACCAGGCAATCTAGAAAAAAGAGAAAGGCAAACTCACAATTAAAATTATCAAAGAAATGAGGCTACAGCCACATCAAGTTACCATTCCCTTCTGGTTTCCTTGTTCCTAAATCATGAGTGCTGGAACGTGTGACCTGAATGTACTTGGTATTAGTACTTAAAACTAAACTTGCATAATATAGCTTTTGGGCAATAAAGTATCTCACTTTTTAAAGCTAAAGACACACATGCACGTGCACACACACACACACGTACAAATCAATGATTTGTATATTCACCTTTCAAGGATCTCATAGTCACTCTCCAATTTATAGAGGGCTGATAATCTGGCTTCCATTAAAATGTATAATTTTCCTCTGACAGCATCTATGAGAGCAAGGGAAAAAGTGGACTTCAATGATATTCAGGCTTTGGCTTACGCTAAAGAAACGCATCTGCATATTTTTCCCTCCAGGGGCTCCTATATCACCTGCATCCAATGTGCTCAGCACTGACAGAGGAACACCACAAAGAACGCTAGGGCACACGTGCTTTCCAAATACGAAAAAGACAAAAACATCAAATGCTGTTAAGGCAGCTCATCAGTTGTTGTTAACTGCACCTCTATTCATTTTAAGTAAAGTAATCTTTTCTCCTACCAAAAGTAATATATATGAGTGCTTAAAATCCGTAACATTAGCAAACCAAGAAGAGATCACAAAGTAAAAGTTTCCCATAATCTCACACTCCCCACCCCACCCCGCCCCCGCCTCGACACTATCGTTTCAGTGTCTATTCCTCCAGGTGTTTTTCTATGTATATATCAACATACATATTATGTAAACATATAACTTAATAATTATGGGATATAACTCAATACAGTTTTGTAATTTGTTTTCACATAATACATTGTGAACATTTTCTCATATGTTAGCACATATAGATTCTCTCATTCTTTTAAATAGCTTCTATAGTATTCCATCTTATGGAGGTACAAGTTATTTTTAACATATCAATTAATGCTAGACAATTAAACTGTTTTCAAATTGCTACTGCTATGAACACTGGGATAACGAATATTCTTATACATGTCTTTGTACCCATATTGGAAACATTTCTGGAGGATACTATCCTAGGAAGAGAAAAGCTGAAACAAATGCATAAACATTTAAAATTTAATAGATACTGACAAATTGCCTTACAAGAATTTAGGCTAATTTAAACGCCCACATGTAAAGTATGACATACCCAAGAATATACCAAAGCTATACCTAAGAATATACTAAGGCTGTAAGAAAAATGAGTATCTATGGATCATTGTGAAGGCCTTTGCAATTCACTGAAAAACTACCACAAATAATGTTGCCACCCACCAGTTCTGACCTCACAGGAACTTCATTATAAGTGGAGTCTATATTTTCTGAATAAAACACAGAACACATGATACACAAGAACACAAGAAGTAAAAGAGTTGTATGCAGGCAGATGAATGACACGATTGAAATCTCAGCCAGATGGCCTTTATGGCTGTCAGGCTTACTACGGAATGGCCATGATCCACAGGCAACACAGGAAACTTATAACAGACAGAAATGCACTTGCAGGGAGAAGCAGCAGTAGACACCAGAGCCAGGCTCTATGTGGAAACAGCTCCTTCCCAGTTGATAACGCTAGAAACCAACTCTTGGTCTTAGCTACTCCTAAGGCACAGCTAAACAATGATAAAAATATCTGACACCCAACACTTTCCCATTCCTTTCTCAATATTCTTCCCTTGATAGCACAAGCTATTGTGAATCAAGTTAACTGTCTTGTAAGACAGATTCTTTTTCTGGCTATGAGTTTTTCTTTTCTTTCCCTGACTTCCCCCTGCTCCCCATAAACTATAGAAACCTGAAGGTACCAACCTTCTTTTTTCATATAAATCTCTATGGAAAGGGCCTCTTCAAGACTATGGTTAACTTGACACCAGGAAACATTTGAAAGGTACAAAGTTCTCAAGTTCTGGTACCAATTCTATGATACTATGATATATAGTAAGAAATATATATTTGGTCTTAATCCCTGTTCTGGTAGAGCTCTTAAAACCCTTGGAATTTCCTAAGTGATGGGAACCAAAGGTGTCTTTTGTTACGTTAATGGAGTGACTTTTGTAAAACCCCTAGGTAACCTAAGGATGGTGAACCAAGCACATGGCTACAGGGTTGGAACTTTCATACTCCACCTCCAGCCCCCTCTGGGGAGGAGAGAGGGGTCAGAGATTGAGTTCAATCACCAATGGCCAATGATTTAATCAATTGTGCCCATGTAACAAAGCCTCCATAAAACCCCAAAAGGATGGGGTTTGGAGAGTTTCCAGGTTAGTGAACGTATCCACATGCTATGAGAGTAGCCCACCCCAGTTCTGGGGAGAGAAGTTCCTGTGCTTGCGACCCTTCCAGATCTCACCCTATGCACTTCTTCATCCGGCAGTTCATGTGTATCCATTACAATCTCCTTTTATAATAAACTGGTAATCTAGTAAGTACAATGTTTCTGAGTTCTGTGAGTTGCTCTTCGGACCCAAGGAGGAAGTCATGGGTTGGTGAGAAGCCCAGGTGACAACCGGAACTTGTGACTGACATCTGAAAGGGGGCGGGGGGGGGGGAGTTGCAGTGGCAGGGGGAAGTCTTGTAGGACTAAGCTCTTGACCTGTGATATCTGACTCAAGCTCCGGATAGCTAGTGCTTGAATTGATTTAATTGCTTGGCGGTGTTGAGAAAACACATACTGGAGATTCCTAATAGCAATGATACGCTACCCCCTTTGAATCTCAGGTTCTTCATCTGTAATAGGAGCATGATGTATAAAAGTATTGTAATCTGAAAAGTATATGAAATTTTTACTTTTTATATCTCTGTACAATGTTAATTTTTTGTGTTAATTTTAATGTTTTGTGTTAATTTTTCAATCAGAAATGAAAATGCTCTTAAGAGGTTATTTTTCTGATTAAATCTAATACTTTTTCAAAAACTTCTATTTTTACTCCAAAAAGAAATGTAGGACTTCCCTGGTGGTGCAGTGGTTAAGAATTCGCCTGCCAATGCAGGGCACACAAGCCCTGGTCCAAGAAGATGCCACCTGCCATGGAGCAACTAAGTCTGTGTGCCACAACTACTGAGCCTGCGCTCTAGAGCCTGCGAGCCACGACTACTGAGCCCGCGTGCCACAACTACTGAAGCCCGCATGCCTAGAGCCTGTGCTCTGAAACAAGAGAAGTCACCGCAATGAGAAGCCCACACACTGCAATGAAGAGTAGCCCTGGCTCACCACGACTACAGAAAGCCCGCGTGCAGCAACGAAGACCCAATAAAGCCAAAAATAAATTAATTAATTAAAAAAAGAAAAGAAATGTAATTTTTTTTCTTTTTAACCATTGCATCAAATAGGATAAAATGCCTAGGAATAAACCTACCTAAGAAGGCAAAAGACCTGTACTCAGAAAACTATAAGACGCTGGTGAAAGAAATCAAAGGTGACACAGATGGAAATATACACCACATTCTGGGAGTGGAAGAATCAATATGGTCAAAATGACTATACTACCCAAGGCAATCTATAGATTCAGTGCAATCCCTATCAAATTACTAGTGGCATTTTTTGCAGATCTAGAAAAAAAAATCTTAAAATTTGTGTGGAAACACAAAAGATCTCGAATAGCCAAAGCAATCTTGAGAAACAAAAATGGAGCTGGAGGAATCGGGCTCCCTGACTTCAGACTATACTTCAAAGATACAGTAATCAAGACAATATGTTACTGGCATAAAAACAGACATATAGATCAGTGGAACAGGATAGAAACCCAGACATAAATCCACGCACCTATGGTCAATTAATCTATGACAGAGGAGGCAAGAATATGCAATGGAGAAAAGACAGTCTCTTCCTAAGTGGTGCTGGGAAAACTGGACTGCTACGTGTAAAAAAATGAAATTAGAACACTCCTTAACACCATACAGAAAAAAAACCCCAAATGGATTAAAGACCTAAATGTAAGGCCAGATACTATAAAACTCTTGGAGGAAAACATAGGCAGAACACTCTTTGACATAAATCACAGCAATACCTGGATCTACTTCCCAGAGTAATGAATATAAAAACAAAAACAAACAAATGGGACCTAATTAAACTTAAAAGCTTTTGCACAGCAAAGGAAACCACAAACAAAAGGAAAACACAACTCACAGAATGCGAGAAAATATTTGCAAATGAAGAGACCGCCAGGGGATTAATCTCCAAAATATAAAAAATAGTTCATGCAGCTCTACATCAAAAAAAACCAAACAATGGAATATTATTCAGCCATAAAAAAGAATGAAACAATGCCATTTGCAGCAACATGGATGGATCTACAGATTATCATACTAAGTGAAGTAAGTTAGAGGAAGACAAATATCATATGGTTATCACTTACATGTGGAATCTGAAAAATGATACAAATGAACTTATTTACAAAACAGAAAAAGACTCACAGACTTAGGAAACAAACTTATGGTTACCAAAGGGGAAGGCTGGGGGGAGGGATAAATTAGGAGATTGGGATTCATATATACATACTATTATATATAAAATAATCAACAAGGACCTACTGTATAGCACAGGGAACTCTAGTCAATATTCCATAATAACCTATATGGGAAAATGATCTGAAGAAGAATAGATATGTAAATGTATAACTGAATCACTTTGCTGTACACCTGAAACTAACACAATATTGTAAATCAACTATAGTCTAATACAAAAGAAAAATTAAATAAAAAACTAAAAAAAAAAAAAAAAAGTAGTATTTACTTCTACACTGGACCAAGAAGGAAATTCTGGGTAAAAAAATAGTCCTTTTCCTAGGCCAAGGGAAATAAGTAGATAAACTAGTTGCTTGGACATGTAAAAGAGGGGAGTAGGAATCAGTAAACTAAGACGTGTTCCACATGTTTTCTTATATTATTTTCTTCTAAACTCCTGAAAATATACTCTTGACCTTCACTCTGTCCACTTCTTATGGCTTCCTTTCTGGATCCCTTGCCTCAAGCCTTGGAATTCACCAACATGAAACAGGCATGGTTATCCTTTCAGGAGGCCCAAACAGTTGGATTATTTCCAGCTTTAGAAGTACACTGGAAGCTAACCGGCTTTGCTGTGCTGTTTGAAACTCATTATCAGATTTCTCCCTCCAAAACATATCCTGCTACATAACACCATACCTATGTATTCACTACCAGAAAATTATTTAGTAGAGGTTTTCTGGGTTTCTAAGAAATTTTAATAAAAGGTAAATTTCCCCAGGGTTATTAGCACATATGAGTGATTATGACATACCTAAGAACAGATTCCCAAACAATAAATCATAAGACATGTGACCAGAGAGTTCATGCTACCTCCCAGCCCCAACGGCTTTACTAATTCTAGTAAATACATTTATTTTTTGTATAATTTGTAATAAGTTTATTAAGTTATAAGTATAAACTATGTCCTGATTACTAATACTGATGTCTATTTAAAAGTCAAAGTAAAGAATATTTTTAAAATAATAATTAAGCATGACTTAAGCAACTTTCTGAGAAAATTTTAGATGTTCTCTAATATTGTATCCAACTCAGTTTTCCTTAATGAATTAACTGTGTTCTATTTCTAGTGTGACTCATCTATTGTCTATTTATTTCCTCCTATCTATCATGATAAGACTTTTTAAGCATTCATTCATTTAGTTGATATTTATTGAATACTTATTTTGTTCTAGGTAATGGGTTATAAGGGCATAGCCCTAAACAATACATATCCAGGCCCTGCCTTCACACAAACCCAGGGAGTTAAGAGATTTTTCCATTACTTGATAATAACAACATCCTTGGGAATTCCCTGGCGGTCCAGCGGTTAGGACTCCATGCTTCCACTGCCGGGGGCCCGGGTTTGATCCCTGGTTGGGGAACTAAGATCCCATAAGCTGTGTGGTGTGGCCAAAAACAAACAAACAAGCAAACAAACAAAGAAACCCCAACTTTATCCTGATAATCTCTCTTTGTACTAGATAAAATTACTTGAACAACTTCTACTAAAAATGCCTCTTTTAAAGGGAATGTACTTCAACATAATAAAGGCCATATATGACAAGCCCACAGCTAATATCATACTCTTTGGTGAAAAACTGAAAGCTTTTCCTCTAATATCAAGAACAAGATAAGGATGCCCACTCTTGCCACTTTTATTCAACATAGTATTAGAAGTCCTAGCCAGAACAATTGGGCAGGAAAAAGAAATAAAAGGTATCTAAATTGGAAAGGAAGAAGTAAAACTCAGTATTTGCAGATAATATGATTGTACATATAGAAAACTCAAGACTCCACCAAAAACTCAGAACTAAAAAATAAATGGAGGGACTTCCCTGGTGGTACAGTGGTTAATAATCTTCCTGCCAATGCAGGGGACACAGGTTGATCCTTGGTCCGGGAAGATCCCACGTGCCGCAGAGCAACTAAGCCCGTGTGCCACAACCACTGAGCCTGCGCTCTAGAGGCCGCGAGCCACAACTACTGTGCCTGTGTGCCACAACTACTGAAGGCCATGCACCTAGAGCCCGTGCTTTGCAACAAAAGAAGCCACTGCAATGAGAAGTCCGTGCACCACAACGAAGAGTAACCCCCGCTTGCCATAACTAGAGAAAGCCCACGCACAGCAAAGAAGACCCAATGCAGCCAAAAATAAATAAAAATAAATAAATGCAGTAAAGTTGCAGCATACAAAATCAATATACTGAAAGCTGTTGCATTTCTATACACCAATAATGAACTATCAGAAAGAGAAATTAAGAAAACAATTGCATCAGAAAGAATAAAATATGTAGGAATAAGCTTAGCAGAGGAAATGAAGGACCTAGACACTGAAAAGTTTAAAACATTGATGAAAGAAATGGAAGACACAAATAAATGGAAAAGTGTTCCATGATCATGGATTCAAAGAATTAATATTGTTAAAACGTCCATACTGCTGAAGGAAATCTATAGATTCAGTGCAATTCCTATCAAAATTTCAATGGCATTTTTCACAGAAATAGAATAAACAATCTTAAAATTTATGTGGACCCACAAAAGACCCTGAATAGTCCATGCAATCTTGAGAAAGAAGAACAAAGCTGGAGGCACAACACTCCTTGATTTCAAACTATATTACAAAGTTCTAGTAAGCAAAACAGTATGGTACTGGCATAAAAACAGACACATAGATCAACAGAACAGAACGGAGAGCCCAGAAAGAAACTCACACATAAGACAATTAATTTACAACAAAGGAGCCAAGAATATACAATGGGGAAAGGAGAATCTCTTCAATAAATGGTGTTGGGAGAACTGGACCACTTTCTTATGCCATACACAGAAATTAACGCAAATGGATAAAAGACTTTAACATAAGACTTGAAACCATAAGATTCCTAGATGAAAACATAGTTGATAAACTTCTTGACACTGGTCTTGGCAATGTCCTTTTTTTTTTTTGCTCTGACAACAAAAGCAAAGGAAACAGAAGCAAAAAAGAAAAAAAGAAAAAAAATGTGGGACTACATTACACTAAAGCTTCTGCATAGCAAAAGTAATCAACGAAATGAAAAGGCAACCGTCTGAATGGGAGAAAATATCTGCAATCATATAGCTGATATGGGGCTAATATCCAAAATATATAAAGAACTGATGCAACTTGATAGCAAAACAAACAAACAAACAACAAAAAAAACCCTACCAAACCAATTTAAAAAATGGGTAGAAGATCTGAATAGACATTTTTCCAAAGAAGACAATCAGATATCCATCAGGTACACGAAAAGATGCTCAATACAAGTTATATAAGGGAAATGCAAATCAAAACCCCAATAAGGTATCACCTCACACCTGTTAGAGTGGCTGTTTTCAAAAAGACAAGAGACAGCAAGTGTGGGCAAGGATGTGGAGAAGAGAGAATCTCTGCACTGATGATGGGAATGTAAGTTGGTGTAGCCACCATGGAAAACAGTATGGGAGGTTCCTCAAAAAATTAAAAATACAACTACATATGATCCAGTAATTTTACTTCTGGGTATTTATGCAAAGAAAATGAATACAATAACTTGAAAAGATATCTGCACCCCATGTTCATCACAGCATTAATTACGATAGTCAAATTATGGAAACAACCTGTGTCCTTCAATGGATGGATTGATGAAGAAAATATGGTATGTATATATACAATGGAATGCTATTTGGCTGTAAGAAAGAATGAAATTTTGCTGCTTAAAACATCATGGATGGGGCTTCCCTGGTGGCACAGTGGTTGAGAGTCTGCCTGCTGATGCAGGGGACACGGGTTCGTACCCTGGTCCGGGAAGATCCCACATGCCGTGGAGCGGCTGGGCCTGTGAGCCATGGCCGCTGAGCCTGCGCGTCCGTAGCCTGTGGTCCGCAACGGGAGAGGCCACAACAGTGAGAGGCCCACATACCGCAAAAACAAACAAACAAACAAACAAAAAAAACCCCATCATGGATGGACCTTGAGGGCATTAGGCTAAGTGAAATAAGTCAAAGAAAGACACATAATATATTATCTCACTTATATGTGGAATAAGAATGAAATCAAAGCAACAAAAATAAACCTCATGGATACAGAGAACAGACTGGTGGTTGTTAGAAGCAGGGGTGTGTATGTGTGTGTGGGGGGTGGAATGGGTAAAGGGAGTTAAAAGGTACAAACTTCCAATTATAAAATAAGGCGTGGGGATATAATTTATAGCATGGCAACTATAGTTAATAATACTGTATTACAGGGCTTCCCTGGTGGCGCAGTGGTTGAGTCCACCTGCCGATGCAGGGGACACGGGTTCATGCCCCGGTCCGGGAAGATCCCACATGCCGCGGAGCGGCTGGGCCCGTGAGCCATGGTCGCTGAGCCTGCGCGTCCAGAGTCTGTGCTCTGCAACGGGAGAGGCCACAACAGTGAGAGGCCCGCATATCGCAAAAAAATATATAATAATAATACTGTATTACATATTTGAAAGTTACTGAGAGAGTAGATCTTAAAAGGTCTCACCACAAGAAAAAAATTCTGTAAATATGTATGGTGATGAATGTTAACTAGACTTACTATGGTGTTCATTTCATGAGGTACACAAATGTTTATTTTGTTGTAAACCTAAAATTAACATAATGTCAATTATACCTCGATAAAAAAAGTAAAAAAAAAAAAAAGGGAAGAAATGTAAGCTTTCATTCTTTCCCAAAATTCATTAAAATCATTTTATTCATATTGATCATAAGTAACCAGGCTCACACTTACCTTTAATCTTCACATACTGCATATCTGGATTAACACACAGGGCAAGGTTACTAGGTAGAGTCCAGGGAGTAGTTGTCCAGGCAACCAAAGATATATTTTCATCTTCCTCCAAAGGGAAAGTTACAAATATTGAAGGATCTTGAACATCCTGAAATAAAATGAAATAAAGTATTCTTTCACAGATTCCATAATAGTAGACATGGAAGAAAAATGAACTGATCCTAAAGAATAAAATAAACTTTTATTTTCAGAATAAACTGAGCTTTAAAAAAATCTGCCATATTTGTAAAAAAAAAATACAAAGAGAGAAATCCCAAATACATTTTTTACATAAAGAAAATGCTTTAATAATTACCTTAGTAGTCACAAATAAAACATTTATAGTGTAGCAAGTGGGATACATAAATGAGGTTTCACTATTACAATGATCTATTTTATAACAAGTCCATAAAGAATTAGGTCAATAAAATGACGATTTTGGAAAACAGTGTTATTCTTTATTTGAATTGAAGGGTATATGAGAATTCTTTTCAACTTTTCAGGAAGTCTGAAATTATGCCAAAAATTAAAAACAAACACAATCCTTAGTACACACTCATAGTATGGCCAAAGTGAAAAAAGACAGAAAATACTAAGTGCTGACAAGGATGCAGTGTAATCAGAACTGTCTAGTGGAAGTATAATCCCTTTGGGGTTAGAGTGGGAGGCAATGAACCATGGTCCATGCATGGGTCAAGTCTGGCCGTTACCTGTTTTTATAGAGCCCAAGACCTAAGAATGGTTTTGATAGGACTGAAAGATCTGGCCAACAAAGTCTAAAATATTTACTATCTGGCCTTTACAAAGTTTGCCAACTCTTGTACTAGGGCTAAATGTAAGTATACGTTATGACTCAATAATCCCACTCCTGGGAATGTGTATATATGCTCCCCAAAAGACAAGTTTCAGAATGCTCACAGTAGTACTACTGATAAGAGCCAAAAATTGGATATTACCCAAATGTCCATCAACAATAGAATGGATAGTTAAATACTAGACAGTAATTAAAATGATGATCTACAACTACACACAACATGGATGACTTTCACAAACATAATCTTGAGCAAGAGAAGCCAGATACAAAAAAAGAACAAAGTGTACAATTCCATTTATATTTAGTACAGAATCAGCAAACAATGAGGTTGGAAGTGAGGACAGTGGTTGCTATAGAGGAGTGGGGGGTTACATGCTAAACTGAAGGGACCATGAGAAGGGAGAGCTTTTGACAGGTTGCTTGACAAGGTTCTTCTTTAACTTTATCTGGGTGTTGGCTTCACATTCATTTTGTGCAAGTATATGGAATAGAGTAAGTAAATGGAGGAGCAAAAAGATGTTGTCTTATTAAACCAGGAAATAGGTACTAAGATATAAAAATTATTAATTTTAGTATGTATAGTAATAAACAGAAAAAAATTAAAAAGCCACTGAAGGGAAATCTAAATAAAACATTAATAGTGATTTCCTTTGGGTACTGAGATTATAATTTTTTTCCCTCTTCTTTATATCTTCTAGGGCTTCTAAATTTTCCACAATGAGCATAAGCCTCATAAATAATCACATCAACCAGACTTCTAAAAACTAAAAATTTAGACAATATAAAAAATAAATATTTTTATATACCACAAGTTGGTTTACCTTTTGGAAAAGTTGGAAGGACTTTCTTCTATAACTCAATTTAGTTCTGTACAGCTTGCTCTTTCCCAATAAGAGAATGTATTTATTTACTTATAGAAGAGTATACACTTTGAAAACCCTAGGACCTAACAAGCTATAATGGGACTCTAACATGTAAAAATTTAGTTACCAAACAAAATTCCAGCATAGTACACAAGGATTTATATTACAAAACATTTGGAGCAACACCAATTGTTACCATTTAAAAAGAAAAAAAAGGCTGTGCCCTCTGAACACCTCAAATATCTATCAAAAGAATGAATAAATAAATTGTAATCTGTTATATGAAACACTATACAGCAGTTAAAAATAAACTTAAAGCTACATGTATCAATATGAAGAAACTTTAAAACAATGTTTAGTATAAAAGGCAAGGTGCAGAATACAATGAATGAGATTTAAAAACTTGCGAACAACGCTAAATACTGCTTATGGATACTTATATAGATAATAAAAATATGCATGAAAAAGAAACACCAAATTCAGCATAGTGGTTACCTATCAGGATGTGAAGAAGGAAATGGAAAAGAGAAATGTGCTGTAAATAAACAAACTGTGGTATATTTACCTACACAGAAATTAGAACAAAAGATCCAAAACTACACATAACATGGATGACTATCACAAACATAATGCTGAGTGAGAAAAGCCAGAAACAGAAGAATACATAGTGGATCTTTCCATTTCTTCAAAGTACAGAACCAGACAAACTAATCAACTGCTATCTGTGACATTTGATGTATTTGAAATCAACAACAGATGCATTTAGTGAAACCCATGTTTTGTTTTTTAATTTTTTGGCCACGCCGCGAGGCTTGCGCGATCTTAGTTCCTTCCCCAAAAGAGGCTGTACTCCTCAATGGGAGAGGCCACAACAGTGAGAGGCCCGCATACCGCATAAAAAAAAAAAAAAAAAAAATGAAGTACTTATTTCTATAAAATGCAGAGGACAGAGAAAATGTTAGACTATGGAGATGTAATCATCAAAACTCAGATTGTGGGAAACTACAAGATAATATGTTTCCCAAACAACAATTTGCAAGGGGGAAAAAAAAAAGAAAAAGAAAAACATAGAAAGAGAAATGGAGACCTACACATTAAAACAGACCTAAAAGACAACTATTACCGTGTATGAACCTTCCTTATGTCTCGATTAAAACAAAACAAGAAAAAACAAACAAACAAAAACAACTAGAAATAACCTGAGGGAAAAAAAGGATGCTGTTTATGAGACAAATAGAAATGTGAACACTGATGATATCCAGGAGTTAAACAACTACAGAATATTTAATATTAAGAACATTAAAAATGATTGATGATGACTTAAGGTGTGATAATGGTACTCTGGTAATGTTAAAGAAATATTTCTTATCTAGTAAAGATATATAATGAATTACTTATTGATAAAATGATATGTCTAAAATTTGCTTTTGAAAAAGGGTCTGGGAGAAGTAAGTGGAGTGTGTAGATGGGGCAGGATTGACCATAGAGATTGTAGGGGATACACGATAGGACATGGGAGTTAATTATTCTGTTAATTAATTATTCTGTCTACTTTTGTATATGCTTGAAATTCTCCATGTTCAAGTGTTTTTAAAAAGTAAGCAAATACAGCAATATATTAAGATTTGACAAAACTTAAGTCTTTGGTACCCAATAGTTAGTATATTATTCTCTACATTTTTATGTGCTTAAAATATTTTATTAAAAAAAACATAACATGAGCACCGCCATAGAAGGGTATTTAGGGGACAACAGGCAGGCATCATCATGCCTACCTCACAAGGATATGCAACGATCCAATGGGATACTGAAAGCATTCTGCAAGACGAAAAGTGCTTTTGAAATGCAAGTGTTAATAATAATGATATGGGGCTTCCCTGGTGGCGCAGTGGTTGAGAGTCCGCCTGCTGATGCAGGGGGCGCGGGTTCGTGCCCCGGTCCGGAGAGATCCCACATGCCGCGGTAGCGGCTGGGCCCGTGAGCCATGGCCGCTGAGCCTGCGCGTCCAGAGCCTGTGCTCCGCAACGGGAGAGGCCACAACAGTGAGAGGCCCGAGTACAGCAAAAAAAAAAAAAAAAAAAAAAATAATGATATGTAGGTAAATACACAGTTTGTTTATTTACAGCACATTTCTCTTTTCCAAACCTTAGAATGAGATAGAATTCCAAACAAATCAACATCCTTTAAAAACAAAGAGGGTTAGATAAACTCAGAAATAAAACACCCCTTGAATATACACACATGAGAATAGATAGTTATTCCTGAAGACTTACAGTCTTTACTATCTCCCTGGGTAAGGTAAAGCAGTACACTTTGTAAACAACAGACACGTCTAAACTCTTATACCAATGACAGCAAGTTACTCCATTCATCAAAGATCATAACACATCACCAATCGCAAATCAGATTTTCCTCCAAATACTTTTAACAAATAAGTGGTATTACAAAGCCTCAGATGAGGCACAAAAACACCCTAAGCTGTAACCCTTATGAAACTGACTGGAGGAAAATAGAGCAGAGCTGGACTTATTAAACAAAGAGAGGCATAAAAATATGGTTAAAACAAGCAAAACCTATCACATTAAGACACATCATTCACATCACTCCCCCGGCTAACATTCCACACTGGGACTAAGTTACCATGATCACCACAGCCATTTAACTTCTGAGTACATAACTTAACACCAATGACATCTCACATACCCTGTAATTCTGGTGAGATTCAAAGTTGGAAAGTGGAGTATTGCATGCAGTGGAAAAGGGCATGACTTTCACTCCTCTATAAACAAGGCCTTTATCATAGAGCTGTTTGAAGACCCACCTGGCAAGTAAAGAGACAGAATTTTACAATTACATAACCATAATTCTATTTTCCCAAATGCAAACATTTATGCCAGTTTCTGTCTGTAGAGTTTCTCACAGCCAAAGAAGTGGAAACACAATGTCTCTCAACTGCTGAATAGCTGGTAAATTACAGTAGATCAGTATAATGAGATATTATGTAGACATTAAAAGGGCAAATAACTGTTGACATGGAAAGGTGTTCATGACTTGATGTTGACTGAGAAAAGCAATTGACACCATACTGTACAATGAGGTACCAATTATGTAAAACTATGTATCAGTATACATATTTACACTTTTAGAGATGCTAAAAAAGTAGATTTTCACCAATATGTTAACTATGGTTGGGATTTCAGACTTTTTAAAAAAATTTTTTAATTTACTTATTTATTTGTTTATTTTTGACTGTGTTGGGTCTTTGTTGCTATGCGCAGACTTTCTCTAGTTGCAGCAAGCGGGGTCTACTCTTCGTTGCAGTGTGCAGGCTTCTCATTACTGTGGCTTCTCTCGTTGCGGAGCACAGGCTCTAGGCACACAGGCTCAGTAGTTGTGGCGCAGGGGCTTAGCTGCTCCGCGGCATGTGGGATCTTCCCGGACCAGGGATCGAACCCATGTCCCCTGCATTGGCAGGTGGATTCTCAACCACTGCACCACCAGAGAAGCCCAGACTTCTTGTTTTTCTTAATAGTTTTCTGGTATACTGCTTAAATTTCACTGTAATGGACAGTTTTACAGAGGCAATTTAAAAAGTATAAACCACTGGGATTAGGATCAGATATCTCTCCTACAGTTAGTCAAAAACTTTTATTAAACACTTACACATGTTGCTCTAAGCTAAATGTAGCAAGACACTGGAAAACAGTCATCCCAGGTTCTCCTGTGGTGACTACTCACCTTTCCCAATTGGGTGCCAGAATTCATTTGGTAGGAATCCTTACTTGTCTTTAACTCATTTTTACAGTTCGATTCCTATGTACTTGGCACAATAAATGAATTAAATTCTCTCCCATTTGTTAAAATACATTTTTATGTAAAACTGTGCAAGTATTTTCATGGTATTCCTTTGGCTTTGGATAAAGCCTAAAAGGTGACATCTTGTAACAAATTTCCCAAGTTTAAACTCAATCTTAAATTATATACTCTGATGCAAGGACATTCACCGGAGACCAGAGGGAAAGTGTCAGATTTGCATCATAAGACCAAGATTCAAGCCTAAGAGCCATATAATTAGTTGTGTGATCTCAAGCAAGTCACAACCACTTGCCTTTACCTCAAAGTGGGTCCTAACCCAATCCACAGGACTTTCTGGATCATCTGAGAAAAATCAAGTGGAAGTACTTTATATACTCAAAAGCACCAACTCAATCTAAATTATCACCATTAAATTAATGTTATCATTTTAAATGTATCTCCTACTATTTTTTAAATATTCACCCTAGGTCTATAAGCCTTATTTATATGCCAACATGTTCCTCAGGAATAACTAACATTCTAATAGCAAGAGGCTTTGAAAATGGTTTTCCCCCGATTCAAGTATGTTTTATGTAAATTAAGAAGTCTGATGTAGAGCTATATTGTCCAACATGGTAGCACTAGCCACATGTGCTCATTTAAATTTATTAAAATTAGAAATTCAGTTTCTTGGTCATACTAACCACATTTAAGTGCTAAACTGTCCTGATCTAGAGCATAAAGAGTACCTTCTTTTTCAGAAGTTTAAGAGAAACCCTGCTTTTTAGAATGCCCTAATCATGAGAACTCCAACTACTCAGTGAAATGGGAAGCCTCCCTGTCCAAAGTTTCTGCCATGTCAGAGAGTTTAATCAGCTCTCACCCTTGGGTACATGGGTCTGGAGATGCACCCACAGGGGCACATCAGAGTCAGAGGGTCTGAGAACTGTCCCATGGTATCTAGTTCCTCAAAGGCAAAGGCACGTGCCAAGCATATGCAACAGATCTTGACTAATAGAAATGTAATCAGGTAGATAGGACGACAGTAAGAGGCACAAGCACCTACAGTGCAGCACAAAAATATGTATCCTACAAAAGAGCTTTGCAACTCACCTGTAATCATGCATAATTTAACAAAAGTAGGACTCCCTCAAGGCCTGAGTTATATACATAGGTCATTTTGCAACCATAATAACTATTTGCCCATTAATGATACATAATGATTCTCAGACTATTGTAGGAGGCTCAGGTTAAATCACCTATCAAGACTGGCAATGGGCTTCCCTGGTAGTGCAGTGGTTAAGAATGTGCCTGCCAATGCAGGGGACATGGGTTCGAGCCCTGGTCTGGGAAGATCCCACATGCCGTGGAGCAACTAAGCCCGTGTGCCACAACTACTGAGCCCGCGTGCCTAGAGCCTGTGCTCTGCAACAAGAGACGCCACAGTAATGAGAAGCCTGCACACCACAATGAAGAGTAGCCCCCACTCACTGCAACTAGACAAAGCCCATATGCAGCAACAAAGACCCAATGCAGCCAAAAATAAAGAAAATAGATTAAAAGAAAAAAAAAGACTGGCATTGCAACAGTTGTCTTATAATAGTAAAAGGAAGCAAAATTCATTTTGAAACTCATGAAACAGTGACTGCATATACAACTTCTCTTAGTAAAAAATTCAAGTGCACATCTCTTAGACTTAATTCCTTCAAACAAACAAACCCATTTCTGAAACCTAATTTTCCTAAAATTTGGTACTAATTAATTTGACAAAAAAACCCTGAACTCACATCAGGCCATTTATATTCTTCATTTATTTTACTTAGTGTGAAGAGTTATATGTTCTGATATAGAAATACTAATGAAATTGATTACAGGTTGCTGCTCAATCTGCTAGGGCCATTAAGTACTACAGAACATATGGATAACCTAATACCTTTCTAGAATCCAAAATTTACTGAATTCAAAAATAAACCTAGGGGTGGAAGGGGCGAATAGGTGGAGTACAGTGGAATTTTATGGCAATGCATAATTCTAGAATTATGGATATATGTCATCACACATCTGTCCAAATCCATAGAATGCATAACAAGAGTGAACCCTTATGTAAACTCTGGACTTTGTGTGATTATGATCTGTCAAGGTAGGTTCATGAATTGTAACAAATGTACCACTCTGGTGGGGGATGTTGATAATGGAGGAGGCTATGTATGTGTGGAGGCACAGCGTACATGGGAAATCTGTATATCTTCCTCTTTTTTATTTTTAGAGCATTTTTAGGTTCACAACAAAATTAAGTCTTTAAAAACAGAAACAAAACAAATCCATCCCCAAAGATTTCAGATAATTGTGGATCTGAAAACAAGTGGATTCATGCTAGAGCATCTCTACTAACTAATATAACAAAATAGTCATTATATTTCAACTTCAAATAAACTTACCAGACAGATTCCATGAATTGTGGATAGAGAGTTTTGTAGTCATTGTCAAAGTCAATCCATCGGCCAAGTCTGGTAATAGTAGACTTAAAAAATATGAATATTAGAGTTTTTAGACAATGGTATTTGTTATTGTATAGCTATTTGTTTTACTTCTATTATCACTACATATGATGATTTTGGAAAAACAGAACAATCGATGGTTCCAGTAAATGTATACTGTAAACAACACATTTTGCAAGGTTAAGAACAAGTTTTCTTGGCATTCATCCTATATGCAGGGAATGTTATTTACAAGTATTAACATTCTTTTATAAAAGTCTACCAAAACTACCATTTGGCAAACACACGTCTAACTGTTGCTGGCATGAATCATCAATGGTTGCTAAAATTACTGAGTCATAGTATGGTAAGAAACAGGGTACTTACTAATTACAAAGGAAAAACTGCAACTTTACAATGGAGAAACCTGACAGAATCACCTTAGTGAACAAAGTGAACAACACCAATGAGACTTATCAGCATCACAGGCCTTCTGATATGATAGACTGAGAAGGGGATGATGTTACTTCTGAGGAATTCTTGCCAAAAATGTATAACCTAAACTGAATCATAAGGAAACATCAGACACTGAGGGACTTCTTACAAAACAACTGGTCTGTATTCTTTAAAAGTGACAAGGTCATGAAAGACAAACACTGAGGGAATGTTCCAGATTGAAGGAGACTGAGGAGGTATGACAACTAAATGCAATCTATGCTCCTAGATTGGATCTTGCATCAAAAATAAAGATCAGTGGGACAACTGGTTAAATCTGAATAAGGTGTATAATATTGTATCAGTGTTAATCCTGCTTTTGATAATTATACGATAGTTATTAAAGGTGTTAGCTTTTGGGAAGTGGGTGATGGGTATAGAGGCTCTTCATACCATTTTGGGGGGAGAAAAAAAAAAAGAACCCATATGCATGTTATAATCATCAGGATTTTCCCCTACTGGTGACCAAGCAAGAAAGGTAGATTAAAGAAAGTTAGGTTAGGAGAAAATTGAGGAGCTTTGATTTTTAGGTTGATGAAATCAGATTTCATTCAACAATGAAGATAAGTTTTGAGCAGGAAGAGTACAATGAACAGTCTTGAGAGAAATAACTTGGCAGGCTAAGTGGAAGGAACATGAGCAAGAGACCAATTGGTAGATTCTTATAGAAATAAAGACAATGGTGGGTGAGAGACTAGGTTGTAGGAATGAAGAGAAATATGTAAGAGATACTTAGTATAAGAGATACTAAGAAAGGCTTGATAGGATTTGACATTTGAATCGGTCATGATGATTAAAGCTTGAAGTCTGGAAGACTGAGGGAATTCTGAAGAACAGCAAATTTGACAAAGTGGTAAGATAGTAAAGATGGAAAAAAATAAAAGCCAGACATGTTTTTAAGTTGTATATATATATATTAATCTGAGAGCCACTGAGGAAAGGGGGAGTTGAGGACCTTTGTTCCTAAGCACATCAGAATAAGAGAGGACAAGAGCTCTGCCGGCACCAGACGGTTACTAAAATGTACCAGTTGTGGGAGCTCTATTACAAAGAGAAACAGTGGGCAAGATGGGAATCAATATAAAACAATGGGTACAAATGTGAGTTGTTTTTAACATCTGAATTTTTTTATTGCCAACGTTCAAGTTAATCTATTTGCTAGGACAGCATGATTCCTGTCATATACTGTGGGTAGGTAGATTAAACATGGAAGACCAATCAAGCACATAGAAATCAGAAAAGAGAGGGTTCAGTTTAAGCTAACAGTTTAAGTAATGGAGTTGAAGATGGAAGCTAAACACTCCTTTAAAGAGGATTATCAACCCCTCTTTTGGGCACATATCATAAAAAGCACAAGGAACCATAAAACATTTCAACCCCCATTTAAAAGCTAGAGTTTTTTTTCATTCTCCTTAAAATAACCAAAAATACCTTCCACTCAGTAGAATATCGCATCACAATTGCTCGGCACTGACTGTTATATTCTGCAATCCCCAATCTGGCTACATCCTCTGGTCCTCTGATTCCCAGTGTCTTATCAATTTCATATTCCTGAAAATTTGCAATAAGATTGTTAACATCCCTGCCCTATGAAGCAAATGCAATTCGACAAAACTAGAAAACAGATTAAAAAAAATTAGTTCTCAGAAAATCTACAGAGAAAATGAACTATAAATAGTATTATAAAAATGAAGAAAGTCTGATTATAGCAAAAATTCATACTTTAACATATTATATAATGAAATATAATGAAATATTAAAAAATCAAAACATTATAAGGCTGGTGACTCAAACATACCACAGGTAAACCATGACAATCCCATCCAAATCTTCTGTCAACGTGAAGCCCACTCTGGTGAGCATATCTTGTAACTATATCTTTAATTGTCCCTGCAAGTATATGTCCATAGTGAGGCAGTCCAGTTGCAAAAGGAGGCCCATCATAGAAGGTAAATCTAAGAGGTAATAAAAATACGTTAAGTTACTTTAAAACAGATAGCAAAAATTTAGGACAGCATTTTTCTATAGATAGCTCCTGTAATTGTAGAGCCTTTGGGGAGAAGAAAAGCTGCGAGGCTAGGAAACTCAGACATAACTGATTATGTATCTACTGTAGGCCCTGCCTTTAAAAAAGCTAATTATGACAGAGTTGGAGAGACCTGTATTGGACCATCCATCCTTCATTAATTAGTTCCATGATATAAGGGAAATTATTCACCCTGATCCTGAGTTATCTATAAAATAGGGCAACAAACACCTATGATAAAGTTTTTGAGCACAGGAGACACATGATGAAAACAGTAATTAAAGAAAGGACTGGTCTTTAGGTGAATGAAGACTAGAGGCAGGAAGTACCCCAATAGGAGGCTATTACACTACTAGTCTAAATGCTTAAATGAGGGTAGTGATAATGAGAAAAATGGAAAGGAAGAGAGCGACATATAAACTCTATTCGGAAGACCTCTTATTCTTAAAGACTCTACCAAAGAAATTCACATACTTTGGCCTATGTTTTGATTGCTTTAAGCATTCCTGAAAACAATTAAAGTCGGACCAAAACTGCAAGATTTTCTCTTCTTCAGCAGGAAAATTGATGTTTTCTGGAACTTGTTGAACCATTCTGTTACTGCAAGAGAAATCAAATTTATTATTCTCAAAAGAGAAGTCTAGGAATAACAGAGTACCATACATTAAAATAGATGTACCTATCACTAGCCATGATACTACCTGGTACTTAAAAAAAATTCCCCTTTTTTTAAGGTAAAGTTCACATACCGTAAAGTTCACCCTTTTAAAGTATATAATATGGAACTTCCCTGGTGGTCCAGTGTCTAAGACCACACTCCCAATGCAGGGGGCCTGGGTTTGATCCCTGGTCAGGGAACTAGATCCCGCATGCCACAACTGAAAAAAGATCCCACGTTTCGCAACGAAGGTCCCGCATGCTGCAACTAAGACCTGGCGCAGCCAAATAAATAAATAAATATTTTTTAAGAAATAAAGTGTACAATTCATTTTTACCTTTTTTTTTTTTTTAAAGTATATTCACAAGGTTGGTCAACCACCACCACTCACTACTTCCAGAACATTTTCTTCACTACTCCCACTTCTGCCCTCCAAGAACTTGTACACATTAGCAGTCACTCTCTATTCTCCTCTTCCCCAGCCTCCTGGAGACCATTAATCTGCTTTCTGCCTCTCTAGATTTTCCTATTCCGGACATTTCACATAAATGAAATTATGCATATACAGCCTATTGCGTCTGGCTTCTTTTACTTAGAATTATGTTTTTGAGGTTCATCCATGTTGTGATATGCACTCATACTTCATTGATTTTTACGGCTGAATAATATTTCATCATATGGATATGCCACTTTTTGTTTATCCATTCATCAGTTCATGGACATTAGCATTGTTTCCACTTTTGGACAGAGCTGCTATGAATATTCACGTATAAGTTTTTATGTGGATATGTGTTTTCAGCTCTCTTAAGTAAATACCTAGGAGTACAACTGCTGGGTAATATGGTACTATGTTTAACTTTTTGAGAAACTGCCAAAATGTTTTCCAAAGCTGCTGTGCCATTTTACATTCTCCCTGCAGAGAATGAGATTCCAGTTTTTCTACATCCTCACTCCTTATCGTCCATCTTTGGATTATAGAAAATCCTAGTGGGTATAACATGGTATCTCATTGTGGTTTTGATTTCCACTTCCCTAATGATTAGTGATGTTGAGCTTATTGGCCATTTCATACCTTCTTTGGAGAAATGTCTATTCATCCTTTGCCCATTGTTTAACTGGGCTGTCTTTTTACTGCTGAGTTGTAAGAGTTCTTTATATTCTAGATAAAATCCCCTTATCAGTTACAGGATTTGCAAAAATTTTTTCCCATTCAGTGGCTTGTTTCTTATTTTTGTCATGGTATATTCTTTGAGGCACAAACACTTTTAATTTTGGTGAAGTCCTGTTTATTTATTGGTTTCGCTACTTCAACTTTTGGTGTCATATCTAAGAGACCACTACAGATAACAAGGTTGTGAAGTTTTAGCTCTTATATTTAGGCCACTGATCCACCTTGAGTTACTTCTGTATATGGTATGAAGTAGAAATATATGGTACCTTTAAATTTATTTCAGAATCTGTGTCCAATTCACACTCTTCACTTATTCTACAACTACAGTATAACATTTAGTAATTGCAGACAACACACTTAAAAAAAAGGAAAAGAAAATCTTGGCAATTCTGTCTAATGATACTAAAAATTCATTAATAATCTGAAAAAATAAATCTCAAAGTAGGTAAAAATTTTTACCTACATTCACAGGACAGAAAGCACTTCTGTTGAATCAACCTAATCTTTCTGAGGGAAACAGGCAAAACCTAAAAAAATTTTAAAGCTAAAAAGATGAGAATCACATTCAAATAATTCCTAGCTCATTCTAATTTTACATTTTATCACTTTTGTTGCTTACTCATGATTTTTGTAAAAGACAAACTCTATATCTCTCTGATTTAGTGCCTGGTGAGAGAAGTCTTAAAGTATCTTTTTTTCAGAAGTTTGTTAATAACTTCTTTCAGAAACATTTGATCAGTCGGGGCTTAACTATCTAGTGAGCATCCTCGAGCCCATTCCTCCTCAAAGCCTATTTATTCTCACTTTATAATTCTAATAAAGTTGGTGACCAGATTTCCAAGCCAACATCAGATTAGAAGGGGACAGAATTGCTAATAATGAGAAAACAACAGAGTAGGTGGAAAACCTTAAGAACACAAGAACTGTAACACTCTGGGATAACGGACTCTAGGAGCAAAGAGACTTACATACCTCAACCAATTCTGAAAACATCAAAGCCGAAGTACAGTAATTGACCCATGTCATCAAAAAAAAATTTTTTTTATAAAAAACAAATAAAAAATAAATTTATGTATATAAAGCAATGCTAGAAATTATGGAATTTCAATGACAAATATAGTCTTACTATGTTAACTAATTTCTACTCTATTTTATTTGACAGAGAATGTGAAGAGACTAACCAAAAGATTAACCATAAAATGGCAAATACACACATTGATTAAAAATAAAATTAGGGAATCTAAAAATTATATGGAAATTCAGGATCAGGGAAAATTTAAATCATGCAGCTCCTATGCTTTTATCAATTAGCAACACTGATTCAAAATATGACTGTGAGCTTCCTAGCAGCCAAGACAAGGGATAAAAAGTTAAAAGGATATTGATTTTGCACATAAGAGAAAAATCTATAAAAAATGAGATTTTTGCCACCGAGGTCTGAGTCACACATGGAAATGAGTGATCTGTTTAATAAACATTTTTAACATCAGAAAAAACATTTTTTTAAGTTTGTTACAAGCGGTGTCTTTCCTTTTGTCCCCCTGTCATTTATTTTTGAGATGTGAGAGTACCTTTGAGTTTTATATAGGAAAAAAATAAGGAAAGAACAGGTGGGCCATTTAACTCAACTATCCATTTCTGATTAGGGTGTTCCATTAAATGTTATTAAACAGAAGTTGAAAAGCATTTTGGATCTTAAGTTCTTGTTATAATTTCCAGCCTTTGAAGGATGGAGAGAGGTGTCAGTCTGTGCATTTACTGATTTAGTAGGAGTCCTACTGGTTCAGTGACAACCTTACTAGAGGCCAATTGAAACTTAAGGGGTTACATCTGAAGACTAACATATCTTTAGATATCAACATACTTATTTCTGTCACCCCCTAATGCTTGTCAAGGCTGGTCCTATGATTGCCAGCATCTATGGAAGTTGATTAGAGCAGATTCACCAGCCCCACCTTGGACTGAGGAATCTGAACCTGCTTTTTAACAAGATCCTAGGGGATGAGCATGCACATCAAAATTTAAGTCATTCTCTTAAACTGTTCTGACCATTATTCTGGAATATCTATCTGAACTTTTTTTTTTTTTTTGAGAAAATGAGATTTAAGCTTTCTGTGAAGATGGTTTTTAACTTTTATAAAATTTTCTAGAGAGCCTCTACTCCCCCCAAAGATTAAGAACCACTGCATTATTAGGCCAAACACAAAGACCCATGTAATGGTATAGACTATTCCAGGAAGAGCCATGTATCAGTGACCGGGCTATGGCGGCTGCTGAGGAGAAACGGCCCCCATGCATAAATCACAGGATTGCTCTGGCCCCTCACATCCACTGGAGAGCTGTACCTGCACAACAGCATCCAGTAACCACAGGGCTCTTGGGGGAAAGGGGGAGCAGAAAGAAGAGGGAGATTAACCCTACCAGGTCAGGCTCAGGGAAGCAACCTCCTCTTCTTCCCTTTAACTATAATCCAAGGCCTCCACTATCTTCCTTATTCCATGACTCCTGCAGACCTCTTTAGCCTCAACTTCCTGTTCAGCAATTTCTAGGTACCCTCCTTCACCTTTACTTGTATTTACCTCCACAGATCTTGGAAAAGCATACCAAAAACATTTTTGTTTAAAATAAACCTCATGATCTTCCTTGCCACACTTGCTCCCATTTTTAATTCCACTGTACTAGTAGTTCCACTATTCCTTCTCATTACCTGAAATTTCTGAGTTACCCTTAATACTACCAGATGATCCCCACATCCAGGTGATCACCAAGTCATGTGGGTCTGACTTCTAAGTCTATTTCTCTATTTCCTCTTCCTCATTCTCAGGTCTTCATAACTTGTTACATTAAGTCAAATTTAACCCAAGAGGTGGGTCTATCTCCAGCCTTTTCACAAACTACTTATATCCTATTAACATATAACCCAGAGATTTACTTACACAAATGTATAAAACATGTACAAAGATATCAACTGAAGCGTTTCTATAGACAAATATCTGAAAACAACTTAAATATCCATGAATAGATAATAGACTATTATCTAGATAAAATAAATTATGGTACATCAATACCATGCAGGCATTAAAGATAATAAATCATAATATATCAAATATATATATTCCTTATACATACTGAGAAAGAAAACAGCAAGTCACAGTTATAGCAATTTATACTATGTGTATTATAGTATAAATTATAGCAATTTATAAATTATAGCAATTTATACTATGTGTATTATATTATATACTATGTGTATTATAATATTTTCAAGAGATTAAAAATACACTAAGTCTATGTTTAAGTAATTCTGTATTTAATTTAGAAGGTTACCCACCAAACTTAATGGCTACCACCAGAGAATAGGATTAGATGAGGAAGGCGTGAAAGAACAGATTTTTATTTACTTCATATTATTCTGTCTTGATTATTTTTGAGTATGTATTATCATAAAAAGTTTAAAAATAAAGGGAAAAATAAATACTATACATCCTACACACCACCTTCCTAATAGAAAAGTTCTGAAAGTATCACTTCTGTACTAAAAAAAGAAAAATGCAATGGTTCCTCACTCCCAATGGTTGCTGTACAGACTTTTCAGTGGGGCAGCATGATCTTACCCACAGTTACTACTCCTGGCCTTTACTCTTACAAAACTCAAGCTCCAACTACATCACATTCTTGACACTGCTGAGAAACAGAACTGCTTTGCTGACATACTGCTTTGCGTTCAGGCCCTTTCTCCAAATACTCTAGCACTGCTTAGCTTAAATGTACTCTGCTCTATGGGGATTTACCAATCCCCTTTTTACAAAACTAATATCCCCCTCCCCGGAATCTGCTCCTCTCCTACACATTATGGTTTATTTGTATTGCATGCCCATGTCTCTCCAACTCAACTGTAAACTTATTGCTGGCAAAAGCATTTTACTGTCTAACCTCTTACTGTCTTACCATGTGCTTACACATGGTAGTGCTCAAAAAGTTTGAACAAATCCCTTTGTCAGCATCCTTAGTTTCCATCAGTGATATTTCCCCCAGCTGCCTTTCCAATATCCCACTCCGGGGTCTCCTCTTGGCAAGGATAATGGTTAAGAGGGTTGGCTTTGGAATTTGACAGTTTTGGTGCCACAACTTACTATGTGACTTATAGGAAAAGTTACTCAACCTTTAAACCTCAATTCTGCCACCTGTAAAATAAAGTTTGTAAATACAATGCTAATTTAACGTTAAGTGAAATAATGGCTATCTGAGCAATCACACATCATCTACGGAAATTATTATCATTACTCCTTTGTCCACAAATTCTACTCTATTGCCTTTGCCCAGTCACTATATCATCTTTCCAAAAACATTTAAGAGTGCAATCTGCATTTAGCTGCCTTCTCTTCCATATAATTCACTCTCTAATCACTTATGAAGAAGATACACTGTCCACCATTTTACTGATATTTACTTTGTAAAAGTTCATCGTATTACTTAGAAATCCCTAAAACAATTGCTTTGCCTATAGTTTCACTCTTCCTGACCTCTCTGCAACACCTGAATGAATGCTAAAAGTAATACTGTCAAACCTAATAAAAAACTTATCTTCCCTTCTGGATTCATTTCAAACACCACTTCACTCAAGAAGGAAACCACAAACTCAGTAAGGCTGGAAGCCAAGCATCATCTTCCACTTGTTCCTCACACGAAACTGCAGTGACTACAACTCCCCATCTCCTGAATCACACACACTTTAAAATCCTGCTATACATTATACTACAGTCCCCTGCATCATATCCCCAAGTTCCTACTTATCTTCAAGGCTCCAAACCCACTGCAGTTCCTGAGAAGCCTTCTCCTTCTCCCACCTCAAAATCCCACTTAGGAACTGTCTTCCTCCTCTGTGCACTTGGAATACTGTATTATTAGACTGTGTAAGAGCCGAGAACGGGGACTTCCCTCTAATCCCAGGCACCCAGCAATAAATGCCCATTCGTGGGAACCTAAGACTTGATTTGTTCTTATGAATACCTAGACTTCCAAGTAATTTCGTCCACCTTCTGAACTCCAGTAAGCAAAATCACACCAAATTCTGAGAACCACCCAACAGTTCAAGTGTTACCAGGATACCAGGCTGAAGCTGAGGAACTTCCAAGGGTTGTAATCCTCGGCCCGAGAGCTAAGCCAGGATTGGTACCTAGTTCTGAGTTCTTTCGCCCCACTTAGACATCCTCCCAATGTTTTCCTTGGAAACGGATATGCACGTAACTTACCCATAGCCCAAAATAAACATTAAAAAAAAAAAAAATCTTGTGTACCGGAGGGACTGTGGATCCCAGTGGGCAGTAAGGGGCGTATCTGAGAGGCCCGTGTGCAGAACAGGTTGACCTGAGGGGCCCCGCGTGCAGGATGGGGAGTACCTGAGGGGCCTCCGCGAGCAGTACCAGGCGTACCTGAGGGGCCTCCGAGCCTGAGTACGTCGGAAGGAGCCGCGTCTACGCCTTGGTCAAGAGTCTAGAGGTGATGCAACGCCCCGAAAGCGTGAGGCTAAGAGGAAGTGGCCTGGTTTGCACCGGCCAATCAGCGCCCGTCGTTTGACACCCGTAAACAAGCCGGACGCCGATTGGCCGCGTGCGTTCCAAGTCACGACCACCCGACCAGGCGTTGCTCTGTGCCCTGGCAGGCTGTGCGACTCCGTGGCGTGGCGGCGACGCGCTGTGTCCTTCACGCAGCTAGGGCGACGGTGGTGGACACGACTATTTTGTGGCCTCCGGGGTGGGGACTGACTGGGAAGGGCACAGAGAGGAGGCTGTTGTGCGTTCTAACTGGGCGTTGTTACACAGCCTTTGTCGGTGTTCACTGTACACAAGACGTAAATGCATTTCACCAGGGGTTAACCAAATCCAACGATAGTAGCCTCAGTAATTATACTGCGGGGCCGTGAGTGCGCAGTCTCAAGGCTGCTTTACTAGATGACTGTTAAGGAAAGCAGCCCTAGGCACTAGGACTATGTTTTCTGGTGTAGTGGAGACCTGCACCAAACCACCTTGGAGTCTTTAAAAATGCAGAGTCCTAGGGCATAGACTAGGCCTGCTGAGTCTCTGGAGGTGGGTCACAAAAATACAAATCTTAACACGCATCCTGGATAATTCTGTTGTATACTAAAACTCTTGACCCACCTATCTGAAGAGACCCTCCCGTTTCTCGGGGAAATGCAGAGGCCACAACATGGTCTGCGAGGAGCTGAGGCACTGGTGGTCAGTGGTGTTCAGAGAAGCCTCTCCTTTTATGTCCTTCAGTGCCACCTGTAGAGGTCTCATAAATTTTACTGCAGAAATGATGGTAACAGCCATATGGAGAGATATAACAAAAAGAAAGGAAATGCCTGACAACCAGCTTTAGAATAATTGTTTCCTGTATTGAAAACAAAATTATTTGCATATTAGTCTGCTTACTTATGTATTTATTATCACTGCTGTGAGTCTGCCCAGCACCTTTTGGATCTGCTGGTTAAAAACCAAGGAATCCAGAGCCATGCAAAGGACAGTAGACCTCACCAGAGACTATGACGGAAATTTTAGCCCTTGACAAATTGAGAGTAATTCTGTATGTAACTTCTTAGTGTATCCAATAAAAGGACAGAAAAAAACTGATCTATCTGAGAATATGTATAAGGCATTCCTTGATAAGTTTCAGAACACTTTGATAGTCTGTGTAGCATTCATTCAAGTCATACATGGTTTAGGAGCACCCTAAAGGGATTAGAGTAGGGGATTTTATGTCCTTGCCCAAAGGGGTGACTCTCCAATAACTTAACTTACTTGAACACATATATTTAGTAGTGTCTTTACCTTATTAACTATAAGTATTTGGAATGTGTTTTAATTTTCACATTCTTCAAGTTGCCACCTGTTCAGTTCATTTTTATAATCTATCCAGACAGATGTGTCCAGGGGAAAAAAAGGTGGGGATGATAGGTCTAATTATTGGGTTGGCCAAAAAGTTCATCTGAGTCTTCCGTAAGACATTATGGAAAAACCCGAACGAACTTTTTGGCCAGCTCAGTATTTTAAAATGTCTGATGTCTAAATTTAATATCTAAAACTGAAAAACCAAGAAATCACAGCATAAGCATGTTAGGTAGAAATTCAGTGATAAATATCAGAGGAAACAAAGTTTTGAATGTGGTTGTATCTGGGGAGCAGAAACTGGGGATGCAGAAGGCTGCTTGATGTTACTTGTCTGCTCTGGAGAAGGTGGGTGTAACAAATTTAAACATGGCCAAAAATTCTGGACACTTCTCACTGAGAGGTGAGGATCTATGTCCCCTCATTTTGAGTCTGGGTGGGCTCAGTGTGTTTTAACCTGTAGAATACAGTGGAAATAACTGAGCCAATTTCTGGACTAGGCCTTAAGAGACTGGCAGCATCTGCTTCCTACTCCTGAAACCTATTTGCCATGCTGTGAGGAAAGCAATGGACAGGCACTGAGTGAGCAGTCCATTTTAGAAATAGATCCTTTAGCCCCAGCTGGGCCACTCACATGATATTACATGGAGTAGAGATGAGCAGTCCCCACTGAGTCCTGACCAAGTTGCTTATTTGTGAGGAAAATGAACAACTGTTAATGGGATGGCTTGCTATGCAGCAATAGATAAGAAGGTATAAATATAATCAACATCAAGAGAAAGTGGAATATTTGGATTATTTATCCTCCTGAGTGGTGGTTTCTGTTTTACACAAAGTCTGAAGTCTTGGAAACACAGGAATCTCGAATGACGTTTCAACTACTTAGTTCCTTGGACTCTGTTTACTAAGCACCCACTTAGTGCTAGACATAGTTCTAGGCAGTGTGGATGTAACCGTTAACAAACCAGGTGATATCCCAGCCCTCAAAGAGTTTATATTTGATCAAGATGTAAATCAATAAATACTTAATTTCAGATATACACAGTATGGCTCAATGATAATCCCTTGGGACTTTACATATAGCATAATTTTGTACAGAGCCCAGTTTGATAGAGGCTTATCTGTCTTGAATCCTAGCCACATTGATTTAATGAGGTATTAAGTCTGCTTCCCTATCTGGACCCAGGGTCCTGACTCCTAACTGTGACTACATATCTTTCAGACACTTGGATTTTTCAAAAGCCTGTAGTCTAATTAGAATTTTGAGATTTTGAATTTTGGCCTCAATTCATGGAGGCCAAGGACAGGAAAACTCTGCATTTGGCATCCTTTTCTGGTCCTCACAGAACTCTCCCATGATGTTGGTCTGAAATATCCTGCATTTCAGTTAGCTTATTCATCAGGACACAAGTACAGAACTCAAGGCTGATTTGTTTTCAACATCTTAAACAAAAACCACAAGATGGAGGTAAGGTGTATTTGATACAATCAGAAATATTTCAAGTATAATTCACATGAAACGTAACTTGGAAAATACAAGTGCTCTGATCCATATATTTTAAAAGGCTTTATGTAAACCTTGTGTCAGAAGATAGCCATTAGTTATTGAAGATGGAGGGCAAAGAGATTATATATGAAAAGTATTTTGAGGGACTATCTTGTGCTTCATTAAAAAAAATGTTCAGGTTAATTATTTGAAGTAATTAGTTAGGAACAAATGAAGAGGAAATCTACAGGAAAAGAAAGCAACCAGAATGATATCCACCAGATAAGATTTTGAATATTCCTTCACTCTGAATTCTTCTTTGTCAGCTAAACTTATTTTCTAGATCACTCCAATTTCCACAGGTGAGCCTTGTTCACATTCAGTATCAAAACTAATGATGACATTTATTATTTTGGTTTCACTCTCCTTTTGGCATCTTTATGTTTCTTCCGACAGTCCTAGAAAAACATAAAACCAAAAGCCTTTGTTAAAAATAGTGGTAAATGCTTTCCAAGGTGTTTAGTAACTATAAAGTAAAATTTAGGTTATTCAGTGTCAGGGTTGTAGAAGCCATTTTGGAAGTGCTCACTTGGAATGTACAGGGGATATTCAAACTTTTGTCTTTAAGTGTTTACAAATGGAAACTGTAATTCAGTCTTTCAAAAGTCTTATGATTTCCTGCTACTTAATAAGCATGGCCAGAACTCATTCCAGTCACTCAATGGGGCCACTCTTCAGTCTCCTTACTGCACCATGGGTTGAATGAATTAAACAACTTAAAACTTGTCTTCCAGCACTATCATTCTGAGCATTTAAGTCATGTTCTCAGTTATCTTAAGTTTCATGCCCTCCTATATTCTTACACCAGGCAAATATTAACACAAAGATAACACCATATCTTTTAAATTAATATGGAGACAATTAACATGAAAATACAACTACTCACCATACGCAAGCTGTTTGTTCTGGCCTCCCAAGAATTCCTGCTAATATTACTTCCTACTCCTCTCCAGAATAAGTCAGAACCTAAAAGGGGAAAATAAAGAAGTACAAGACAGCCCATTAATATTAAAACAGACAATATTCTAGTGCTGGCATTATCAAGGTCTTCAATTCTAGTTAAGACCATTTCCCCCACCGCCCCCAGCCAATTTATGCTAATTTTCAAGAATATCTTATTTTCTTTACAAAATGAAAATGTAGAACTGCTAGGATTTTACTGTTTATAAACCATTTACTATTATGTAACTTGGCTTCTGTTTGTGTTAGGCTTAAGAAATGAGTTCATTGGGCCTTCCCTGGTGGCGCAGTGGTTAAGAATCTGCCTGCCAATGCAGTGGACACAGGTTCGAGCCCTGGTCCGGGAAGATCCCACATGCCAAAGAGAAACTAAGCCTGTGCACCACAACTACTAAGCCTGTGCTCTAAAGCCCGTGAGCCACAACTACTGAGCCCACATGCTACAACTACTGAAGCCTGCGCGCCTAGAGCCAGTGCTCTGCAACAAGAGAAGCCACTGCAATGAGAGGCCCACGCACCGCAACGAAGAGTAGCCCCCGCTCGCCGCAACTAGAGAAAGCCCGCGCACAGCAACAAAGACCCAATGCAGCCAAAAATAAATAAATAAAATATATTTTTTTAAAAAAAGAAATGAGTTCATCAACAGTCTCAGAGTTTTCGTGTGAAATTTTTTTCTATTTTTTTTTTACTGAAGTATAGTTAATTCACAATGTTGTGTTAGTTTCAAGTGTACAGCAAAGTGATTCAGTTATACATATATATTCTTTTTCAGATTCTTTTCCATTATAGGTTATTACAAGATATTGAGATAGCTCATGTGAACTTTTTAGGGTACTAAAGACTTAGGAGTTTTGTACATCTAGTATCTCAGCAAACCCCTGGAACAAAACAAGCCCTTGTTGAGGTTAGTGAACAAGTGAGGGAGGTGGCGAGTGGGAGCTTTCAGTTTTCCAGAGCTTTGCAAGTCAACATGCATCTGTCTAACAGAGGGGGCTAAAGCACATGACACTGCAAAGGATCAGAATTTTTCCTAATCAGTTCTTACTTGGATGCATGTTAGTATATCAGAATGCGCTATGGTGAGAGCTGTACTATTACCTGTTTTATACCATTTAATCAAAACATTGACT